CCCCCCCCCCCCCCCCCCCCCCCCCTCGAATTCCCTTGCAGACGAAACGCGTTCGTAGGTCCGGAGCCTATCGCTCGTCGCTTCCCCCTCGATTCTGTCTCCACCAGCTCCAGTGGCGCTAGCAGATACAAGAATCAACAGGGTGCGAGTGCGTGCAGCATCCAGTCACAGGTGTTTTTTTCCCGTCTCCTAGCACATCTCCTAGCAAACTGGCAAGACGAACTAGGCTGGAATCGAGTTAGCAGTGGGTGCCTTTTGATTCTGCTCCTGCTCCTGCTTGCTGCAAAGCTGCTGATATCGCCCTCGACTTTGCCCGGGTCTCTTGCAGCTTCACCTCCTGCGGCTGAACCCCGTTCCACTGTGTCAACCTGCTTCTGACGTTGATGCAGCCTTGAAACCCTCTCCAGACCGAGACGCACCCATCATCCCATCTCCGATTCCCGCTTTCCATCTCTTTCTTTCCAGCCATTCCTCCGTCTTGCTCTCGTCATCTAATTCTTTGTCCTCCCGTCCCCTCTCGCCAGATTCGTCCCTATCCTATTCCATCCTCTCCAATATACACCGCGCAACGCCCAGCCCCTCGCCCAATCCAGCCTCCACCGACTCGTTATTTCGATTCTTGCCAACCCCTCCAACGCATCAACATCATACCATACCGCCGTAAACTGAACAATCAGGACAATAGAACCATCGTCAAGTCACAGCCTCATCTCGGGACGAAATGGCGCAAGCTGGAGTTCAATCGTTGAAGGTAATCGCATCCAATCTACTTCTCTCCGCGACTTTGACATTTTTTTTTTTTGGTTTGGTACTGACACCTCCTGTCTCCTTTAGTGTGTCGTGACCGGTGACGGTGCTGTCGGCAAGGTATGTCACATCTTGACTTGCGTCTCCTATTCTCTAAGCTAGTTCATGTTGACTGACTGCGGTTCATAGACGTGTCTGCTCATCTCGTACACGACCAATGCTTTCCCCGGAGAGTACATCCCGACCGTGTCAGTAACACCTTTCGAAGTATAAAGAAACGCTGGGTTTGCGACTGCTTGGCTGACATTGAAATTCTCACGGCAGGTTTGACAACTACTCTGCTAGCGTCATTGTTGATGGCAAGCCAATCAGTCTGGGTCTTTGGGACACTGCAGGTCAGGAGGATTATGATAGACTCCGACCCTTGTCCTATCCCCAGACCGATGTATTTCTCATCTGTTTCTCCGTTGTGAGCCCGCCATCCTACGACAACGTTGCTGCCAAGGTACAATATGCATCCCCTATGTTCGTCTGCGAGAAGAACCCAAAATATCTGACCATGACCAGTGGCTTCCCGAGATCACCCACCACTCCTCTGGAACCCCAATCATCCTGGTTGGCACCAAGATCGATCTTCGAGATGACCCTGCCACCAGGGCCAATCTGACCAAGCAACACATGGAGCCTGTCAAGTACGAGAATGTCCTGAACTACGTCAAGGAGGTCAACAAGGCGAACAAGATCATCTACAAGTACATAGAGTGTTCTGCTCTTACGCAGCGTAACCTCAAGAGCGTCTTTGACGAGGCTATCCGGTAAGTAAACGTCGACGGCCCAGGACGGGCCTCTTGTGCTCTCCTTTGCAATACCCGCCTTCCTACCCAGGGCTAACGTTTCGTGTCTCTGCAGTGCGGTTCTGAATCCCACCCCCCAAGCGTCCAAGGCCAAGAAATCCAAGTGTTCCATTCTGTAAAGATTTCTGGCGAAGCCATTTTCGTTTTCCCATGTGTAGCGTCTTGGGCAGCGAAGGCCTCTGCTAGAATTTCTTTTACAAACGATTTCCAATCTCGAGCCGCCGCCGTCGCCGCCGCACGAATTTTTTTTGGGTCACCTTAGAACGGTGTACATTACAGAAGCTCCTCACCGGGACGTATTTCGATGAACTAGACCGACTTAGTTATTAATGGAGAGTGGAGGACGAGACGAAGGTGAAAGAGGGTCGGGGCTCTGAAAAGGAGATTTTATTTTTTAATGAATATGGCTGTCCTGTGTCTTGAGATTCCCCCCATTTTCCTGGTACTGTTGATAGGGTTGCAGCAAGCCAGAAAATGACATTTGTTGACAGGACGGCAAGATTCTGACGCCATCTCGATGGTCCTAGAAGGTGGAAGATGAAAGAGAATACCATTACCGCTCCATGGCGTCTGGCAAATTAACGAATTTTTGTTTTGCTTTGCGCCAGTCGTTTTCTACATTGCTTGAAAGAATATTTTTGAACCAAATTTTTGTTTCTCCTCGTCTCGCTGTTTTTCACTCCTTGACTGATTTTCGATGGTAGTTTTTTCATGGGTTGCACTGGTATCTATAAATGGTAAATGCATTGCGGATGATGCTTGGTATGTATTATACCGGCATTTAGAGAACTGTCTTTGTTATATTGGCTCAACAGCCGGCAGAATGCATAGGAAAGGCGAAGCTCCGTCCAATTCTATTGGGGGTATCTCTCTTCCACCATTTTTTTTTCTCTTTTCCTCCGCTTCTCGTGCAGCCATGCTATCCTAATGAAGCGAAATATGCCACTATTTCGTTTCCGATGGTTGATACATGCGTCCCAGCTCGGAAAAAAACGTAGATTCTGCTGCAAAATTTCGGGTTTCAATCGCCACAATCCCATATGAATAGCGAAAATAGGCGGCCACCGGCGAATTACATTGAAATAATCAAAGAGAAAAAGAAAACAAATAAATGAAACAAACCAGGCCGTATCTGGCCAATAATGGTAACGAACAAGTGCAAGAGAAAGCGTACACGAAGAATCCTAGTGGCATCATCAACAAGGTAGATTACTTGAACAGATTTCCAAAACCTGGGAGGCGGGCAAGACGGCTCGGGTGGATATCCATTCTGGACGGGCCGCTGGACTTGCCATTGGTCTGGTTCTCGTCCTTGGCCGTCTTCTCCTTTTCGATGCGCTTGGCCCGGTTCTCGTCGAGTTTCTTGTTCTTCTCGTTAATCTTGTCCTGGCGGCCCTGGCTGTTTCCGCCTCCTCCAGCACTGTTGATTGAAAGAAACACCAAACGTTAGCATTGACTCTTTTTCTTCTTCTCTATCCATGATACGATTTGTGGCTTGTCAAAACTCACGTCAATTCAACATTGATTTTTCTCGCTGGAGAGATGCCGTCCTCAAACATGGAATGGTGGAACTTGTCCAGGCACGTCCGCTGGTGCGTCGGGGTCGCGAACTCGACAAACGCAATGCCCCTGCAGGCCTTGGGATCCTCCTTCTTCGTCAGGCACCGCACGGCAACAGGCTTCAGAGTGGCGAAATGCGCCGTGATGGACGCCGCTGTGGCGGAGTAGGGGAGGTTGCCGACAAAGACAATGTTGCGGCCTGCCTTCTGGGCTGAGGACGAGTCGAGGTCGATGACATCTCCGGATTGGGGCACGTCCTTTGACGAGGGGGATTTTTCCTTCTTGGACTCTTTCTTGTCCTTCTTTTCTTTCTTTTCTTTCTTTTCTTTCTTGTCCTTCTTGTCCTCCTTCTTTGCTTCAGTCTTTCCATTTGTCTTGGATTCAGACTCGGGCTCAGCCTTCTTTGGCTTTACGTTTGCCTCGTCGTCGTCAATGTCCATGCCCTCAGGAAGATCCTGAATATCCTTGCGCTCTTCTTTCTTCTCTTTCCGAGTCTTGTTGTTGTATTTGGACTTGTCCCTTTTCGGCTTCTTCTCTGCCCTTTCTTTCTTCTCCTTCTCCTTCTTCTCCTTCTTCTTCTTCTTATCCTCCTTGGACTTGGGCTTCTTGGACTTTCTCACTTCATTGCCTGGTTCGGCATCGTCATCGCCGCGCTTGCGCTTCTTTGCGGGCGAGTCTTGAGGCACATCGACGGGCTTGACGTCCTCCGAGGCGGCAGCGGCGCGCTTGGACTTCATAGTGTAGAGTTCTTTTGTCGGTGATGCCTGAAGAATTGGGGAAAAAAAAGAACCTTGAAGAATTGAGGTCTAGAGTCGCTGGTGAATATGGAAGAGAGCGGGCGCGACTGTCGAAAGCTTGCGACGATAAGAGAGAAAAAAAACCTCCAATCGCTCTTATCGGGGCTAGATTGCCTCCAGTCGCAATTTTCAGGTGGGGCAGCTGCTGAGAGGAGGGAAGGAGCGGACCTGCTGGCTTGAATCGGCGCTAGTGGCCGCAATCTTGTAGCTTCCGCTTTGGCGCACCGCTAAAATGGCCAGTGACAACAGAATGAGATGGAGGCTGTTGAGGTTTTTATAAAAAATAAAAATAAATAAAAAATAAAAAGATTCATGGCCAACGAAGACGATGACACAGTATAGCATCAATATGACTAAGGGTCGGCTGCCTTACCTTGATATGATGCATGAGCTGATAGGACTTGAGCGATGTGTCCAATTCGCTGACTAGAGAGATCTCACTCATCAGTAAAAAGATGGCAGTAAAAGATGGATAGCCTCTCTCTGTGCCTGAGGATCTACAGACATGCTCCGTATCGTCCCATGAATCAATTTTACACTCCACAGAGTCCATAGACTATGAAGAAGTCCGGTGCGCAAAACTTTTCTGTACTGGTCCAAGGATTGGATCAGAATCACCACTCAATTTGTTCTGCTTGACCATGCTTAGACATTCTGCCATAGAATCTAATCTCAGTTGGCTACAAGATGTTGTAGTCAATTGCTTTTGCACCTCCACAGGTCAATGGGGCAACCGTGATACCAAGGTCGCAATATTGAGGTACATGTTTTGCATGGCAACCGACTGCTCTACATTTAGTCCAGGATATCAGCAGCAAGAAATCTGGGGTCTCACCGTATCCCGTTCAATGAAAATTCCAATCTCATCGGCATGGTCCATGGTATCATTGACGCCCAGGTGCCAATAGATATCTCGCTTTCCGGGGCTGCTAAAATCGACGTCAGGCAGGGAGCCGACGTTTCTGACGCTCCCGCGTGGACCCGGCATGGATGCGGTGTTGACGATCCCGTCATTCTGAAGCCAGTCTTCAAAGCCGGCATCTAACATCTCCCTCTGCGCCTGCGTAAGCTGCTGGCCGCCCATTGCGTAGACAGTTGGCATCATTATTGGTATGACATCCTCTCGCGGAATGTACTCTCCCGGGCTTGGGAGCACTACTGTGTAACCCTGTATCCGGAGAACCCTGGTCATCACCGACTTGGTGATCCATTGTACGAAAGCAGGGAAATCAACTATCGCTGGGAGAAATGCCCACAGCGTATTGATCACCATGTTCGTCAGCTGCCTGAGGAATGGGATTGGGATCCCCGTCTTGAAGGGAAACTCGTTCAATGCGACCTTGCCCCAGTCTGGCCAATCTGTGGGAAACGGTTTTGTGGCATGAAACGATAGGCTGAAGTAGAAGATGTTTGGCGAAGTGTTGATTGTTTTCTGGGAGAGTTCATGGACCCCTTTGATACTGTTGTCGTACAACCCGTTGTCTTTGGAATAGAGCCACCTCCACACGGCGCCATCGGGCGATTCTAGACGTTCAAGCATGCCCTGGAATGTTTCTCCAGTGTTTCTACAGATTCCCCAATGGTCAAGCTGAAGGTCAAAGGCTCTCTTTTCTGGCGGATAGAAGGAGGCTGTGGCAAAGAGTCTTGCAATGAGCCCGACTGCGGCGCTCAATTGTCGCTGAATTCATTAGTCTTGGGAACCTTGTTCGTTGTAAGCGCTGTGTCATGTTGATACATACATCAACAAAACTCCCGAGAACATCGATAATAGTAGTTCCTCGGTGAGGGGTCCCAAGTGTTGTGACTGAGATGGCCCAGTCATCCCTCCCTGCCTCGTTGAAGTATTTCGGATGCAAATTTTTGTTGTTACCCGACATGAGGTCGATGAGATACCTCACCGTATTACCGCCTTGAGAATGACAGACAAAATGAACCCTATGATCTCTGTCCCATTTCCAGTTATGAAAGTCCGGTGAGTTGGAGTATAGGATTGCGCGCCTTCTGTTGATGGTGCTGGTTCGCTCTGGGCCACGGCTCGGTCCGAAGTAATTACCGTACTCAACATCTACATCGTTTTCTTCTTCAAGCGTATTTGTCGTCAGATCCATTGTGTTGAACCTGATGAGCATTAGTCGAGAATGTTGAACTACCTAGGTGGTGAGAAACATACTGCCCAAAAGTAAGCTGCCGGTATAGCTCACAAGCGCGTTCCCAGTTTGTCGATATGGGAGCAATTGAGGCGATGATCACTGTATATCCCCTATTGGCCAAAAGTGTCGCGATGTCAATTTCTCCGCCAAAGTAGTTGATGGCACCGAACAACGGGGCGCCCCAACCTGTGAAACCGGGCACTTTGCTGCGTTAGTACTCGCGTTGAAGAGCATGTATGAGACCTACCAAGGACAATCGGAACCGACTTATCATCGGGTGCAATATTTTCCACCTCTTGAGCGAGGTTGTGTAAATTCACAAGCCCATTCGGGTCATTGAGGTTTAGAGCCATGTGAAAGGTTTGCTGAGTAGTCTACCAAAAAGCGAGGACAGCGGAGATGGTTGATGAGAAAGTTGATTCGTGACGGTGGGGGAGCAAATATGTCTAGTGAAACATACGGATTGACCGCATACTTATAGCCCTACACATCCTGCGGTATAGGATTCGACAGGCTATCTCTTTGGAGAGTGTAAGCTCCCTTCAGCTGAAGAATGCATACCAACTTGACACACTGGACCAGTCAACGGAGGGATGGCGGATGGAGAAGAGGATGGGGGCTTCTGAGCGGCTGAGTTCCCGGAAAAGTCCAAGCCATCAACCTTAATTCAATTGAAACAAATTGGATGTGCTGTACCCCTTTGAAGATGGACACATTCCACGAAATCACTACGAATCAATCCACGTGCTTCAGCTGAAATGACTTGACGCCAGGCCAATATCAGCCACTTTGTGACTGGGCGCCCTCGATGCAACATTAGCATACAAAAAGCATTCAGCTCAGATTGCTTCAATCGGTTCGAGGATTATGCTCTGAAAGAAATTCTTGTTTGTTAGTACATTGGTATTGAACGGTCGCTTCATGTTCACCTACAATCTTGTTATGCCCACTGCATGGAAACGGCTCCTACTGGGTGCCATCTGCAAGTAAGCAAATTTTGGATTACCGTCTATATCTTCATCTCCCCAGCAGAGCTCGGTGCCCATCAGAAGTTGTTCAATTGAGTCTCTCGGCAGCCACCGGCTCACCAGACGGCACGAGTTCCGTGATCGCAAAGGGTCAAGTAAAATCGGGCATGATGCGGTCCGGTTGGCCGAGGAGCTCGTTCCGAGTTGCTCTCGGGAACTTCCGCCGTTGGGTGGCTTGTTTTCCATTGGCCGAGTTCCATTTTGTGTGTCAAGACATGCTGTCAAAAAAAAAAAAATGAGTATTGAAATACTGATTCCCGTGCTAATAATGTATTATATGGAACTCACTGTGTATATCGCTGTTGAAAGCCTCGATCGTACCAGCTGAGCTCTACTTATGTGTTCACCAACATATATACAGCGAGAGCGCTCGCTTTGCTGGTGATGTGAGGGCATCAACAGGCATAGGACCTACTGATGACATTCCATCACCGTCCCCTCCGCTGTGCCTTCATCTCTCACATGACAAGCCCGATTGAGAGATTTGACGACATGATGGCGGCGAATGGAAATCGCAACAAAGATACACGCAACATCAGCCTAAAGCTGATAGACCAAACTCTATCCCAAACCCGAACGGAATCATCAGGACCACGCTGACTCGTACTTGAGGCATCTAGGAACCCAAGTAGGTATGAAGCAAGCCCTGCAATACTACTAAGGTTTACAGTATGTGCCATAAAAAAGCGGACACTCACGACTGCCGCGGAATCAACGGTTTGTAATTGGTCGCTAGCTCGCTTCTTGTTGCGCCGCGTCGACGCCACCCGCTTCTTTATTTCTTGTTCAAGGCCGAGGCAGTAGCTGGCGATTCGGCATTAAACTGGCAGTATCTGGTACATTGCAGGTTTGCGAGGGCCTTTCCGAAAGGCCAGAATATGTTGGTTGCACAAAGGGTTTTATTATTACATCTTTCTTGAGAGAGGTCCCAATCGACTAAGCATGCAAGATGCCATCTGGTACCACCTAATCGCACGTAAGATTGCCAGCATGGGCTCGTCTGATTCATGCATCTGTCCAAGATAGTCCACGTTCTTTCCACTGTGATTTAGATATCTGTACAGCTGCCAAGGATGTCTTGACCGTAGTACCACTCGTACTTGCCATCTAGACTACTAGGTACCTATGTACTTGGTATTGTGCTCAAGCCAAGTCTGAGCAGGAGCATCTCGGAGAGAGTCCGCGACTCAGTCAGAGATAAGCCCTGGCCACTCATTGGCCGGAATGCCGAGTTTTCTGCGTCATCGCACCACAACCACCAATTTCTCCTCTGTTCCTGCCACTCGACCGTGCGGGGAAACGGCGGTCTCCTTCCTTGGAGCAGGCCGCAAAAGGCTTCTTGCCCTCTCCAGCAGCAAACTAGCGAGAAGCATGAGTACTAGCCCATGCCTGGGGCGTTCTTACCCCACGGATTTTTAGGGTGCTGCTACCCCACAAAGTGCAGGGGCCTGAGTTGGTGAACTAGGGGAGTTTAGCACGGCCTAGAACCCGCTGAATGCCCTGTAGAAGCCATGAATCGGGAATCTTGCGTGTGGAGAAGTGAGAACGTTTGGAGACCGTTGATCGCAAGGTTGCTTGAATGCCCCCCAGCCAATGTGCATAATCCCATCACAGCTGGTTGTGATTCCGTCGGGTGTTGACGCATTCGATTGCTTGACAAGGTTCCTACATACGAGTCAGCCAGCCATCCAGCAATTCAATCAACTTTGTCTCTGCAGCATTGGAGGCAGCACGCGCTTGAGCAGATACCTGACTCTGGCTTCGGCCCCAGATTTCGCAAGTTGATCGACATCGTCTACTGGCCTTACCATTCCCGATTGATCAGTTTTTCCTGCTTCTCATGGCGCCATAGAAGAGAACCGCTCCACCGAAGAGACAACAAGCTTGACGCCAGTGACCTTCAGATGGTGAGTCCTTGTAAATCCCGAGCGCAACTGCCAGGGTTTGTGCGCGTGTCCGTCAAATAATACAGCATGTGCTAACCCGCATTGTGGAGCAGAATGATGAACGAGTGCAACATCGTGGGTCACCCCAGAATCTCAAGCCTCCCCAGCCCAGCAGCTCTTACTAGGTAGTATTACGAGTCTTGGTATGACTAGCAGAGAACAACAAGGACGGCGGCGGCAGCTCGGAACAAGTCAGCTCCAAAGCATGGGCCCTTGGACGGCGGGCTCTTCAAGTAATACGCCGTCCCTTTATTATCCGTTGTCCCCCTCATCTGAGACAAGACAGCTCTTCCCTCGGATGTAACCCTGCCATTGACCACCCTTCTTTTCTCTTTCTCCTCCTCTTTTCTCCAACTCTCTAACCTCATCATCACGTTTCTAACAAGATTCCGTAGCATTCGCTGCCTTTGGCGTTACACTTTGACCTACACATCACAATGGACGCCGGAAACCATGCCTCTGAGAAGGCAGAGGTTGAGAAGATTCAAGATGTAGTGGCAGGCAACCTCACAACAGGTTCTGAACCTGCTCTCGGAACCTTTGCCGACGTTGATGAAAAGAAGATTCTGCGCAAGGTACGTGACTCTCTCTACCATCGAGCCCAAGAGTCGCTAGTGGCGTCAACTCTCCTAACACCGCGCTGGTATAGATGGATATCCGATTACTCCCAATGCTTTCGGCTCTATATCTCCTCTCGTTTCTCGACCGTAAGTTGATGGCAAAGTACGGCGCGCAAGTTCATTCAGCTGACTACGACAAGGCGGAAATATTGGCAACGCCAAAATCGAAGGACTTCAGGAGGACCTCAACATGTCGCCCGGCCAGTACAACTGGTGTCTCACCGTCTTCTTCTTTACCTATGCAGCGTTCGAAGTTCCCAGCAATCTGCTCTTGAAAAAGCTGCGCCCCAGCCGCTGGCTGCCATTGATCATGGTCTGTTGGGGTGTCGTCATGACTCTCATGGGTATCGTCCAGAGCTTCCGCGGCCTGGTGGCGGCTCGTTTGTTCCTAGGAGTAACAGAAGCCGGCCTGTTTCCCGGTGTAGCTGTAAGTTTTGCCTCGTTCGGAACCATGACTGTTTCGACTGACACGAATAGTATTATTTGACAATGTGGTACTGCCGTGAAGAAATTCAGCTTCGCCAAGCGCTCTTCTTCTCTGCCGCCTCCGTCGCCGGAGCATTCAGCGGCATTTTGGCTTTTGGAATCAGTAAAATGGACGGTGTCGGTGGCCTTGCGGGCTGGAGATGGATCTTCATCCTGGAAGGAATCGCGACTGTACTCGTCGCGGTCATGGCCTTCTTTTTCCTTCATGACTTTCCCGAAACCGCAAAGTTCCTTACCGAGGACGAGCGTGCGTTTGTTGTTCATCGTCTGAAGTACCAAGGCCAAGTTGGCCAGGCTCAAGTGGCACAAGCCGAAGAGTTCGAATGGAAGTATGTTCGTCAGGCGTTTACCGATTGGCAAGTTTGGGTCAACATTTTCGTCTACTGGAGTGTAAGTCTTCCTCTGTGCAGTCCATTTTACTAGGTCGTCCTCTTCCATCTCTTTGACAATAGCACTAATATTCAATGCGAAATTCAGATTGTTTGTCCCCTCTACGGCATCTCCCTCTTTCTTCCCACCATCATCAAATCTCTCCATTACACATCGAGTACCGCGCAGTTAATGACAGTTCCCATCTACGTTGTTGCTGCTATCCTAGCTGTCGTCAGCGCCTACTTTTCCGATAGGGTAGGGAAGCGCAGTCCCTTTATCATTGGCTTCCTCTTGATGATGATAATCGGCTTCTCCATGTACGTTTTCACCACATCATCTCTCTCAACTGCTTGCATACCAAGCGTTGTTGACTAATCGTTATTCCAGGTGTATCGCCTCATCAAATGCCCATGTTGTTTATGGCGGGATATTCATAAGTGCGTGTGCCATTTATCCTGCATTTCCCGGAGTCATCACATGGCTATGTAACAACTTGTCTGGCAGTTACAAACGCAGCGCTGGAATGGCTATTCAGATTGGAGTTGGAAATCTTGGAGGTGTAAGTGGACGCCCGTCTTTGCGGGCTGTTGTTAGATATTGTCCCCGCCGCTGACACTCATTTGCTAGGCCATGGCATCCAATTTTTACCGTCAGGCTGATGGGCCCCGATTCATCCTAGGACATGGCTTGGAGCTAGGCTTCATCTCTATGGGAATTGTCGCCAGTTGCATCTTGATCTTCAGCTACTACACCGTGAACAAGAGGCGTGAGCAAAAGCTGGCGGATGGAGAGGCGGCCAACTTTACGCCAGAGGAATTGTCGGCTTTGGGAGACAGGGCCATTACGTTTCGCTACATGTTCTAAATTGCGGCCGCAAGTCGTCGCCTTTCTTTGTCTGGCAGTCTGGAGGTAGACGAATAATAAAAACGACATTGTATTTCTGCCACGACTAACTCGGCGCATCTGCCGTGCGTGGGACTCTAAATGAAGAACTAACAGACATGATAATGACCACAATGTTTCAATACGCCTGCTATAAAAAACAAAATAAGATCTTGGCCCCTACAAGTAACCCTCCACTCTCCCCGAACCTCTCCTCAGAATGTATATCAGCTCATCAATATCCCACCGACGAGGATGATGAGCAGAGCAATGGTGCAAAGCTGTGGTGTTAGCTTCGAAACGCTGTTGACCAATGCGATTTGGGGAAACGATGTCTCCGTCACCACGTTATCGGATGGCACAGAAGCGCGAGCTGTCGTGGGCCTCGACATGGCGAATCCGCTCTGTGTCGGAAGGCTGCTTGGTTCAGCGACGTGACCGGAGTCAACCATTGATTCCACCATCACGCTGCTGCCAATGGCCAATTGAGCGACATTGCTGATCATGTCTGTGGAAGCTGCCGTAGCTGCTGGAGCTGGCTCCCAAACCGTCACGAGCATCGTCTCGGCACCAGCCTCACCAGGACGGTTGATTTTGACCATGACCGAACCTATTGGCTCGTCTTGCTGAGCATCACCAACTAGCATGCGTCCTGTCGTCACTGTCTCCTTGACCTCAGATTCGCATGTCGTGGTAGATGATTTACCATGTGTCTCTGGACTTGCCGTGCTTGATGTCCGATTAGGTTTGGCAGTTGGCCAAAGAGTGGTCACCGAAGGCTCGGCTGTCTTGCCAGTAGGCTTGCTTTCTGCGGTTTCCACAGCGAGGTCATCTGTTTGGCTATCTGGATTTTGTGCCAGTGATGATAAGGTGCCTTGCCCATACGATGGTGCCTGCGCCCCTGAGCTGAGGCCTTCCTGTGGAATGGAAGAGCTCTTGTCAGGAGTCTGCTCACCAGATCCCGCGTTTGTGTATTCTGGTGGGTTGGCGCCTGACGGATCTGCCGCTTCAGCTGAGGAAGACGGGGATGGGGGCGCGGGATGGATAATAGATGCCGGTACCGGATCTACCAAACTGGTGGCAGCAGGTGGCGAAGAAGGAGAAGGCAGCGGAGACGGTTGAGCCACAGTTGTAGGCTCTGCGGTCTTGGATTCCTGAGGTCCTGGGATTGGATTGGCTGACATCTCGGCATCGTCTGTTGCCGAACAAGGGCTTGATGCCGGGGTTGGAATTGGGGAAACAGGCACGGGCGTGACAGCGCTGGAGGTTGCTGTGGCCTCAGGGCCATCGCCGCCGTTGGGTGGATGAGAAGATCCCCCGGCAGAGTTGTTTGAATGACCAGGCTGGTTTGGATCCTGAGGATCAAGGCCACCGGTACCTTGAGAAGCAGTCGAGCATGGAGATGTCGAGGCTGGAGACGAAGGATTGCCTCCCCCTGGGGCCGCCGAGGGCGCCGAGGTCACCGCAGGGCCACCGTGCTCACCGAGATCAGTTGGCTGTGAAGGATCTTGCCCACCGTCAGGGCCATGAGAGTTTGATGGCGTGGAGTCTGGTGGGCAAGAAGAGGTCGTGGAAGGATCAGCCGTTGACTTGGTTGGTTTGGCTGGAGCGGGTGACGTAGCATTGCCATTTTCGCCATTGCCATTCTCGCCTTCGCCCTCACCCTCACCCTCACCCTCACCAGTAGCAGGACTGGAGACAGGAGGTGGTGGTGTAGGAGAAGTGGCAGGCGTAGATGGGGCGGGTGGAGGGAGAGACACAGTGACAAGACCGTCGGGCCCGGAATTGCACTTCAAATCAATGGAGATGTCAAAAGACAATGTCAAATGGTCGGCATCTGGCTGAGATGCATCACCAGGCGTGCTGTACGCAGGAGGGATCGATGGGGTGGGAAGATACTGAGGCTTCTCCAGGTCGACGTGCTGGACCTCGACGGGATGCAGTGGCCCAATGCTCATGCCCAGGTCGGAACATGCGAGGACGACATGTGCCACCGCTGGGCCATAGTCGTACTGGGGACAGGCGCCGATGAGGCATTGGAAGAGAGACTATGAAAAGCAATCTGTTAGCCGAACCATCTAATAATGAGTGCAGACGACCAAATGTCGAGGGTGACTGACGTTTGTCATGAGCTTGTCACCACAGATGGTCTTGAGGTCGAGTGCTCCCTTGTCGTTTCTGATGTTCGAGGCACAGTTGACAGCGCATCCTGTGTAAATCTAGTCAGTACAAAGACATGCAAAAAAGGGGAGAAAAGAAGTGTCACTCACGCGGTGCCAGGTCGTTGGCATTGCTGCGACCAAAGTAGAGGCAAGCAGCCAAGACAACCACAGCGGATTCAGGACGCATTGTTGCAGCGAGTGAAGCAAGCCGAAAGAGTGCTTGTGCGTGAGAAAAATGGATTGTCGCAATTAACGATAGTCACCAAAAAAGGTTCCAAAAAAAAGAGGCGTGAGGATGAATTCCAAAAAGAGTGTTGGCGATGGTCTGGTGGTGAATGATGGAAGATGGTGAAGAAGAGGGAGAAGAGAGAGGAGAGGGAGAAGAGGGGAGAAGAATAAATGAAGAGGCTACGGACAGTCGCTTAGGGAACGATGAACTTCAAGGAAAGAGCTTCGCTTGACGTGTTTGAATGGCGCAACTGGTAGGAGCTTTGAGGGAGTACATTATACGGAAGAGGAGAATCGAGGAAGGGGCAGGGGCAGGTATCGCCTCCGGGCTCACATGCATGTACCGAAACAAAACGACATCGTCAGTGGTAGCGTCAATAACACGCGAATGTCCATTCGTCTAGATGTGTCAAAGCAAACTCCATTACAACTATGAATTAAAGAAGGGGGACGGCAGAACATTGCTGTCCGGGATGCAAAGTAAACGTGGGCTGGGCAAAGCCGTCGGATTCCCATGCTTGATGGCCTCACTAATAGAACAGCAAGGCCAACGGCTTCTTCTCATCGCCGTAGCGATCCTTGAACTCCTTCCTCGCCAGAAATCGTGCAAGCGGCATCATGGTGTCCTTCATGTCCATGACGCCCCTCTTCTTCAGGTCAATATGCGAGGCATCAACGACCAGGCGCTGCAGCTTGTCCAACGATAATGAACCTGCCACTGGTCAGACTTTGAACATGCTCATATTTGTTTTCATGTAGTCGCTAGGGAAATCAAAATGACGGGCAGGTACTAAGGTATGTAGGTAGGTACTCACCATTGTCGATGAGCTCCATCAAACGTGCTGGCGTGCCAACACCAATGCCAATCTTCTTGTTCTGCAGCAGGGCAACTTGCTCTTCGACCTTCATGTGTTTTGCAAACTGTGACAATTCATGTGAGCACAACAAAGCTGTAAAGCCACCAAGCCGCAACTCACCAGCTTTGCAACTAGACTATCCTTGCCCGAGAATTTCCTTAGAGCTCTGCAGTTGCACACGTCAGTAAACTGCCCAAGACGAGTCCATGCAGCAGATGATGACTACCTGGTAAGATCTGCAGCTCTCAAGCCTGCACCAGCAACAATAATGGTATGGGGCATGCCATTCTTCTTTTGCGCCCTCGCCAGGCTCTCCGGATGTTCTGAGAATTTCTCGAGAAACTCTGGCAGCTTTTCCAGCGACCTGTTTTCCTGCCACGAGGTGGTGTCTGTGATTGAAGATGCTGCAAATCTCATGTGAGCATTACTGAATAGAGACCACCCCAAGGCCAGTTGGCATACCTGATATGGCCAGATCTGACAGCTCGACGGGACTCAGATCGGTACCGAATCTCGCTAGCTTCTGTGCATGGTAGTCTGCTAGAAGCTGGCCGTCCATCTTGGAGAAGAGCGTATTGAGGCCAAGCTCGGTGTCGAGGCTCTCATCGTCGACGGCGTGTTTGGACTTTCTCTTTTTGGCCTTTTTGGCCGGAGCCGCCTCTTCAGCGGCCCGTTTCTTTGAATTAGACATTTTGTCTAATTGTGATTATGATTGTGATTGGGGTTGATGTGAATAAGAGCTGCAATTTTTTTGAGACGATAGTGGAACTTGACCAAGGTGAGAATTTTGCGGGACGCACCGCACAGTGTATCAAGCCTAGCAAACACGGCAGGTTTCTAGTTGGCTTCTGCGTATGATACAGTGCGATACTGTATCTCACCGAGAGTCCATTTTTTTCTATGCATCCGTCACACGAGATGGATTCATTGTAGTAGTATGGTGTGAGACTTGGAGGGTAATGAGGATACCATCTTGGCTGCATCTCCCATCTAAACGCATGAGCTAGCCGACAGAGTCATTCACTAGAATTTTCTTGTCTCAAATTCATATTTCATATTTATCAATGTCAATTAATATCTCTAGAGATCAAAGGATCAACTCGTTGACATTAACTCTCCATAGTAATAAGACGAAAAGTTCACTCATTTCGAGAACTGTAGGCGATGCCCCAAACCCATTCCAAACGCCAAACTGCAAAGTTCAAAAATGTAAAACTGAGCCAGCAAAACAGAGGCCGAACAAGACCGCGTATTGCCCTCAGAAGATGCTGTTCACGATGTTGCTACCAATCGACGCACCCGCACCGAAGATGGCGGCGTTACCAAGCTTCTTGCCAAACTTCTTTCCGTATTCGCCAACCTTGCTGTTTCCATCTCCGCCTTGCTGGGACGGCTGGCCACCCTCTGCTATCGCCATGGGTGGCACACTGGCATTGTAAGGGTTCTGTTGCGCCGAAGGGCCCTGAGGGTAGCCGTATGCCGGCTGCTGGGGGTAGGTCACGGGAGCAGGCATAGGGGCCTTTTGCTCCTGCTCGACAAAAACGTAGTTTTGGGGGAAGATGCCCTCCATGCCAGTGCGGTGGTTACGACCCATCCACCAGTCCTGGTTCATGTACTCAAATACATCGATCTTGTCGTCCTTTTCCAGGCTCAGATCGCGGGAATCGCTGGCATCGTAGCGGTACAGGGCTCTCGCATAAGCCAAAACGGGCTTCCCAGCTGGAGCCTGAGAGCGCGTGGGGACGCCGGGAGCGGGAGTATCATCGTATGAAGGAGGAGCAGGAGAAGTTCCATTGACGTTGAGGTTCTGAAAGGCCTGGACAGGGGCCTGGACAGGAGGCGTCACCGCTGCCACAGGCTGAGCAGGTGTTTGGTTTGCAGAACGAGCAGCGCTTCCGGGAGCGGCTCCACGAAGAGGAGTTTCGGCGGGCAGGGCGGCGTGAATAGTGTCGAAAGCGGCTTCGTCAATGACGCCTTTCTCAAGGAGGCTTTCGAGCTCCTGGTCAATTGTTAGTGATTTTTTCAGACAAAGAAGAGAAGAGAAAAAGATTGTTTCCCGTCATAGAGGATGTGCTCATACGTTCTTAATGGTTCGAAGAGACCGGTTGGTCTCCATGATGGTCTGGCGGTCCATGGTATTGGTGGCAGAGGAATGCGCGGAATAAGGCTGGGAGATCAGCAACCGCTTTCGCGTGTAAGTTTTTAGTTATGGAAGAGCCCAAAGCCTTGTATATAAAGGCCGGCAATAACAACGACGGAGGGAGTGCTCGGAAGAAGGAAAATACCACGTCGAGCGCCGGTGACTCCAGGAACAGAGCGGTAGATGCAGGATGCAAGAACTGCAGGGGGTGGAACGATGCTGTGAGTGCTAAGGAATAGGTGGGAACAATGGCAGCTATGACCGCCCGTCAACTGGAGTACAGGTAGTGGCTGTGCTGCCACGAATTACGCGGAGCGGACTCGAGGGGCTCCCGGATTGGCATTTCGGGGTCTGGCCAACGGCCGAGAACGAAGCCACAGCAGCTGGAATGACGACACAACAGGGGGAGTAAACAATGTCATTAAAACGGAATGAAAGACTGAGATGAGTTAATGAATGAATAGCGTCGTAATCGAGCCGGAAATATCAAAGGAACTGCCACAACAAAGCGTTCATATTATCCCAATTACATGTGTTTTCGTTCAGCACAGAGCAGAACCAGAGAATGCCCTACCTGTATTGAACAGGTACAGTACTAAAGCTCCAGTAAATCGGGCCGTGTTACCCGCTTATGTGGCTAGTAGATCGCTGCATTTGGAGAGGGTTTTAGAGGCGATGTGTGCTGTTGGCCCTGGATTTGCCACCGATCGGAGGCAACCCAGTGCCACCAGGATTCTCACATCTACCAGGTAGGTAGTATCGGTACGAGCCGATACATGTTGAGCATCATGATGGATCAATAGTGCTAGAATCTACCTATATTGAGTACACAGGGTCACCAAATCACATGGGGAAGAATGGTGTTTGTTTATACGATTTTTTTCTTCTTCATTAATATTCTGCTACTTTTTGTTTGGTCTGTATGACCGTCATCATAAACATCTAAGTACATCAGGATTTTCTTCTACTTTTTTGCACAACCCCAATCTAAACAACAAACTTGCTCTCCTTGACAGCGTACTTGTCAACGTACTCGTCCACGGTCATGGCCTCGAGCTTCTTGCTGTCCTGGCTGAGCTCAACGAGCTCCTTGACGGTGGCCTCAGAGAAGTGAGGAGCCAGGTGGCGCTTGTACTTGGCCAGGATGACGGGCTTGGCCTCCTCACGACGGAGACGGTGGCCCAGAGGAGCCTCAACAGCGACCTCGTCGAGGACGGTGCCATCGTTGAGCTCAACGGTCAGGGCGTTGGAGATGGTTCGCAGGGCAGGGTCATGGTAGTCCTGGGTGTACTGAGGATCCTCAACGCACTTGATCTTCTTGCGCAGAGACTCGACAAGCTCCGAAGTAGCAGCCTCAGAGCCGTCGACGTAGTCGGTGGCCTCGAGGCGGCCGAAGACGAGCATGACGGAGGCCATGTACTGGATGCAGTGGTCACGGTCGGCGAAGTTGTCCATGGGCTTGAACTGCTTGTCGATGATGCGGATGCAGGCCTCGTGGGTTCGGCAGGTGACGGCCTTGATGTCGGCGGCGGACTTGCCCATGGCCTTGAGCTGGTGGTGGATCTTCTCAGAGGCCTCTACGGCGGTCTGGGAGTGGAACTCGGCTAGTTTTGAACTGTTAGTTTTTTTTTTGAAACAACTGTTTCGTAGAGGGCATCGTTGCAACTTACCAGGGTAGGAGACCTTGAAGAGGACGTTCTCCATGACATAGCTGCCGTAGGGGCGCTGGAACTCAAACTTCTTGCCCTTGAACAGGACATCGTAGAAGCCCCAGGTGGGAGCAGACAGAACGGTGGGGATGCCAGACTCGCCCTTCATGACCTTGAGCGCCAGGTTGACGGCGCGCTGGCAGGCATCACCGGCAGCCCAGGACTTGCGGGACATGGTGTTGGGGCTGTGGCGGTAGGTTCGTAGGCTCTGGCCGTCAACCCAGGCCTGGGTCACGGCATCGGCAATCTGCTTCTCGCTGAGGCCCAGCATCTTGGAGACGACGGCGGTGGAGGCGACCTTGACCAGGACAACGTGGTCGAGACCGACCTTGTTGTACGAGTTGAGCAGGGCCAGGCAGCCCTGGATCTCGTGGGCCTTGATCATGCCCTCGAGCACGTCTCGGATGGTGAAGATCTTGCCGCCGGCCAGGTTTCCGCCGGCCTTGTTGGTGCGGTTGATCCAGTCAGCAACGGCCAGGATGGCACCCAGGTTGTCAGAAGGGTGGCCCCATTCGGCGGCCAGCCAGCAGTCGTTGAAGTCGAGCCATCGGATCATGGCACCAATGTTGAAGGCTCCGTTGACGGGATCCAGCACAAAGGGCGTGCCAGGAACCTTTGTGCCGTTGGGCACAACGGTGCCAGGGACAATCGGGCCCAGCAGCTTGGCGCACTCCTTGAAGCGGAGGCCCTCGAGACCGCAGCCGAGGGTGTCGAGGAGAATCCATCGAGCAGTGTCAAACTGTCAAAGTTGCAGTTAGAAGCCAGAACAAACACTCGATTTTCTCGTCCTCTCCTCCTCTTTCTCTAGCCAGCTTTTATTCCCTCCGTAGCCATCTCGGGAGAGCCCAATTGATGGCGGGGGTATGAGACAAAAAAAAACACGGCCGTCGTTTTTTTTTTCTTTTCTGTTGAAAATGAGGGGCAGCCCGAGATGCCCGACAGTTTCGCAATGAGGGGCAGCAAAACTTACAGCTAGCTCAGAGTCAATGGTCTTGTTGGCGACATAGTCGGCAATGTCCTTGATCTCAGGATCGTACTCGCGCGAGGAAGACATGATGGGCGCTCCGGAAAGCTTGGGGATGGAGGTCGAGAAGTTGCTGCGCGAGGCGGGGGTTGAAGGCACAGCAAAGCCGGAGGAAGCAAAGCGAGCGGCGCCGATGGAGGCCGAGCAGAGACCACTTGCGGCTCGCGATTGGACTCGCAGCTTGGATGCTGACCTGATGCTGCGGGAGATGGCGGACATTGTGAGGCCAGAGGAGGGCAGAAGAATGTGTCTGGAGTCGACGGATTGGCTACTTCCTTCCGTTCAACGAGACCCAGAAAGACTGATGGGAGAAGAGAGAAAAGGGAGGAAAACAGAGCAAGAGAAGAAAAAAGCTTCCAGCCGCTTTGTGAAGGCGTTCCAGCTCTCCCAGAGCCGAGCTTTCACCCTGGCAGACTCCGCCAATCTTAAGTACTGCCTCTCGCTCAGCCGTCAAATGCCGTCCGCACCATCCTCGGCTAAACCAGGCCGATCTAGCAGCTGTTTATGGGGGATTTGGCGGCATCTCCAAATCCTGGGGCCCCGGAGCCGGAGCATCGCCGGCCTCTCTCACCTCGGTCATGGCTGGCGAAGCTCCGGGCGACGGAGCAGGTGAAGCTCGGCTACGATCACGTCGTACCAGATTTCGGAGGCGCAGCAATAGGTGGGAACCGGTGGCCGAATACAACTAGTGGTATATTCCGTACACAGCCTTTACTTTAGATGGTTTGTGATGACCTCTTGCACACTTGTGTTGTGCTGTGCTCCTACAAGATCACGGCATTATTGTCCTCCTGACTATAATCCCGGCATTGGGAGCCGTCTAATGCAGTGGCGTAAGGTACAACTATCAAATTCATCTCTACATTTTCTTTTTCCTTTGCTTATCATTTTCTCTTCAAATAAGTGCGGGTTTTTTTTTTCTCGTCGTCGGCGGGATGCTCTTTTTCGTCCTACTGCACATGACCCTACCCTGGAGCCTTACGAACATGACAAATTCGCTGCTCAGCACGACTCATACCAATGTACTCGCGTCAAGGGCGATGGGAGAGGTGCCAAGTAGAGACTTTTTAACAATCATGTGCGTAATACTGACCAAAAGCAGAAAATGGGGCGCAGACTACAGATGAATATGTATGTGTAGAAGACAGATGATCAATTTACAAACAAGCATCAATTACAATAAGAGGGAGCCCTTGCATTAACCCATCCCTAATCAATCGTATCAATCTTCAAAATCGTCTTCACAAGAGTATTCCAAAGCATCACTGAGCAATTAGCCATTATACATATATCCACCGCTTCATACTCCTCTACTACATGATTCCCTCCGCCCCCCACAACCAACGGCTTCGCATAGGTACTATATTCACACGATCGGTTAGCCAACTTGTTCCGGTACGTAAGTGTAGGCAGACAGAGTGGCTTGCGTCTACCTTGTTTCTCACTCTAGATGGTTTCCTGGCTTGAGGTAGACTGCCCCGTCCGGATGGGGAGTATGTATGTCGGACAAACACTGCATTGGCCCTTTTTTCGGTGCTTCGGCATGATTGCCGGCGAAAGGTTGAGCTTTGGGTTTTGGCAGACGGGATCGGGCTGTTGCTCGCTTATACACCTCTGGAACACCACACATTTGATCTGATGCGGCGGATCAGGCAGGCAGTTCTCGTAGACGACAGACGCGACGGTATATAGACACATGGCTATGGTTATAACGATTGGGGGGGAATCTGTGTGGCGGACCCTAAAGTTGATTGCAGAATCAAGTGTGATGAAGACTGGAAAGCAGATGGGAGCCAGTAGAATCGGCGGCCTTGGATTGAGCTTTATTAAAGATGAAGAGATGCAGAGCACGGCAACTGTTTAACATAGCGTCAAGACATGCTCCTTGGGCAGAGTGCAAGCTCCCTGGGCAAGAGACATAATTTCGGTCCTCACCACCTCGAGAACAAAAGCCCCATACTGGCAAAACATTGTGACAGAACCCAACTCCAACCCCTTACTCCTGTGGGATGCTTCCCCATGTCCGCCCAGCACCAGCGACTGCTTTTGTGTCCTTTTTCCTTTTTCCTTCCGATTCTCATTGGCAATCTGCCAATGTCTCTTGAAAATTTGCGTAAAATGCGCCATTCCAAGAAAACGATACATCGTTTGTGTTGTTTCATGATGGCACAGGACGGCGCCATCGTTTGCCTCCCTTTGATTATTGACATCCTGGTATATTCAAGAGGGGGGGTGATGAGAGATGGCCATAGCCAGTGCAG